TGGCTCCGGTAAAACCAGTGATGAAATAGCAGCGCAATAGTTAATTATAGGCTATAATGTGTTTGTGGCTCCGGGGAAACCAGTGATAGACTCTGTGATATTTTATCGATGTCAGCAGTGTGGTAAAGTGTATAGTTTACTACGCTAGCATCTTTCTCTTAAGACACTTCCAGAGAAGGCTCAAACGCTGCAGGTGCATGGAAATCATTTTCCAGACTTGCAAGGTTGACTTCATAACAGCTATGCTAAAGTTCTATCGCTACCAGCACACACAATTCGTTCATATACTTTCCTATAACCGATAGTAGTGTGATTGTCAATTCTAAGCTATAATATGTGTTTTTGGCTTGGGGGAACCAATGATGAAAAAGCTGCTATCACTACTATATCACAGTTTGTTCATTTACTTTCACATGATTGATAGTAGCGCGAAAGTCGATACTAAGCTATCACATGTATTTCACTACTAGTACACATAGTTTGTTTATCAACTTTCACATAATTGATAGTGGCGCGATACGCGATTTTAAGCTATAACATGTCTTTCTGGTTCCGGGGAAACCAGTGATAACTAAATAGTGGCGCGATTGTCAGTTCTAAGCTATATTATGTGTTTCCGGCTCGGGGGAGACCAGTGATAAACTCCATGATTATCGAAGTCAACAGTGTGGTATAGTGTAAAATTTACCATGCGAATATCCGTCTCTTAAAAGGCACTTTCAGTAAAGGCTCAAACTGGCAGTGCGATAGTCAGTTTGAACTATAACATGTGTTTCTGGCTCCGGAGAAACCAGTGATTAGACAGTAGCGCAATACTCAATATTAAGCTATAATATGTTTCTGGTTCCAGAGAAACCAGTGATAAAATAGTAGCGTGATAGTCAATTCTAAGCTAGAATATGTGTTTCAGGTTCCGGTCTCCATGATCTCTTATCGTAGTCAAAAGTGTGATAAAAGGCAAAATATTTACTGTGCGAATATCTGTCTTTTAAAAGGCACTTCCAGAAAAGGTTCAAACTGGCAGCGCGATAGTCAATTTTGAGCTATAATATGTGTTTTTTTGGCTCCGGGGAAACCAGTGATAAAACAGTAGCGCGACAGTCAATACTAAGATATATTATGTGTTTATGGCTCCGAGGAAACCAGTGATAAACTCTATGGTCTCTTATCGTTGTCAATAGTGTGATAAAGTGTAAAATTTACTACGCGTACACCTGTCTCTTAAAAGGCACTTCCAGAAAAGGCTCAAACGCTGCAGGTGCATGGAAATTATTGTCCAGACCTGCAAGAGTGACCTCAAAACAGTTGAGATTCTATGCTATAAAACTGCTTTCACTACTATCACACACAGTTTGTTCAACTATTTGCACAAAATTGATGGCAGCGCGATAGTCAATTTTAAGCTATAATATATGTTTCTGGAGGAAATCAGTGATAAAAGGGTATCACGATAGTCTATTCTTAGCTATAATATGTGTTTCAGGCTCCGAGGAAACCAGTAATAAACTCCATGATCTCTTATCGATGTCAACAGTGTGGTGTTATGTATATTTTATTACGCGAACATCTGTCTCTATTGTCACCGCAAAGGCTCAAACGCAGCCAGTGCATGGAAACTATTGTCCAGACCTACAAGATTGACTTCATAGCAGTTGAGAGTCTCTGGTAAATTGTATCACTACTACTGTACACAGTTTACGCATATACTTGCAAATAATTGGTAGTAGTGCGATAGTGAATCCTAAGCTATAGAATCCCACTTCAATGTTTATCCCGAATTCATATACAGGCCTCAATAACCGATATATATATCTTTGTCAAAGCTTTCCTTGTTGATACAATCATGTACTCAATATTATGTCTATTTCTCCTCATAATTTTCTTAAGAATGGTGCCTTTAGTGAAGTAAGGTCAAGTCAATAGAGAGTTAAACTCAATTCACCGGTTCATTTATTTTTGTGCTGTTCACATCAAACTGTACACTGTTTAATATAACAGTCCTTCAATATGTATGTAGAATGTTGGCTCCCCTGTTCAGACAAACAAATCGTATCCCTTTTTTTACATCCACACTGCTCCACACTCGTCGATAGGAGTAATTCAATTGGATTCCCACCGCACCAGGAACATCAGCTTTCGAACCCTCCATATTTGTTTCCAATACATAATTGTAATGCGGATTTCCGTCTATGCCCAAGGTGGTGATTGGTCATGGCGTCGTGGAAAAATTGAATATCGTGTGCGGACGAGGTATCTGCACCGTTTGTCTAACATGTTAGTCTGACGAATACAATATGCGTGGAGTGTGGGCTGGCGGGGCCGAGATGATCGTACACTTCAAGAGTCACCTGCGCATCCTGCTCAGGATATTCAAACAATAAACGAACGCAGAAGACCTCTAGTATTCAGATGAGCATGCTACGATTATATAATACACCCTCGCCAGCGGCTTTTTACATTGTCATCGATTGTACGACCAAGATGGTGGTTGGTTATCATGTTAGCATAGAGAATCCAATTTGCGTGCAACATGCGGTGGCGGGCCCGAGGTGACCATACACTTCAAGAGTCATCAAACTACGCTGCTTAGGATATGCGAACAAATATAGGAACGATCAGCTGTTCAGTTAGGCATACTACGAGGATTTTGCATCATCTGTGTTCGCTCGAGGTAATGTTTGTGTCCTAAATTTCCATTCTTTACCAACATCCTGGTCAATTCCAGCCACTATGTAGCTCAAAAATAATTTGGTGAGTGCTGAAATCTGCATAGGATGTATGGACAGTAAATCGCCACGCATAATATCACTTTGTAAGTGTGTATGTTATGAGCCCACTTTATTTTTCCTGTATAGCTACGATCAGCTCCTAATTCTACAAGGTTCACCATCAGCAGTGGATTAAAGGTAGTATTTGACACACAGTTTTATCGTTCCTAGTAACTAAACTTATAGAATCACTTGAAGTATTTCTGCTAGAAGTCTATAATTTGTGAGAGAACAGACCAGTCAGCACATAGTTGCTTCTCGTGCAAGTACGCGATGGTATTTACCACGTATGTGGGCATGTTATCGTTCACTACAGTTTATCAAGTATCGACACACAGTACATCTTCGGTATTAAGTTCCTATATTCTTGTACACAACCACCTACCGATATACAGTGGGAGTTACAAAGTAAGACTCGATGTTGTGCGTACCTTCTTAGCGTGCTTCTCTCTCGACATAATATATTTACACCCATCCACGTTCTGGTGAGTACTGTAGCTATTACATATCTGCACTGAAGTACCACACATGTACAATATGAGCGTTTATTATAACTCAATTGTCATACAAGTAGCTCCTTCACATCGTGGACAACACTCAGTATTTCGCAGAAAGTGGTGCGCTGCGAATGACTGTGTGAAACTGAAAACACTGAGCTATAGGCCATAGCTCCTGGAAGTACACATCTTTGCACCTAAATTGCACATCTATGAGCAAGGAGTTGCAAGTGTAAGTATACGACAAAAAAATATATACGACACAAATTTATATTAGCGATCAATAGTCCAGCTTCAATTCACCAGGCAATGTGTTGTTCGTCTATAGTAGTGAGGTGTTAAATGATGACCCTCCAAGTGAAAGTAAGATGGCTGCAATGCTACAGATAGCTATGAGCATATGTAGTGTACATACGGGATATATACAGAGATCTAGTGGGTATGCAACGCTGACGGCACGAGGTCAAATCAACACCTGCGGGCTATATGCTGGTGCCCGGATAAGGTCGTTACACTTCTATAGGAACATGTAGTTGACAATCTGCAGCAGTCGCACGTGCTCCACGGTTTCATCCTAGCAAATACATGTATCCGGCTGACGAGTATCACCAGGAACAAAAATCTAGTTCCCGTAGTGACTTGGCATTCGGCTTATTGATAATATGAAAAGCCGAGAGCACCTGAGGTGTCCTATTTAGACAAGCACCGCTCAACCAAATGGTCAAATTTGCGGTATATTTACAAAGGTATGTTGTGCTGCGGACCATAGGCATTGGTAGAGGTCAGCACGGCTTCCAATCCTAATTGGCAACGACAAGTTCTCAAATAAGAATGCAACACAAGGCTTTGGTATTTGGTCGAGGATCTGACATTGCCGCCAGCTGCTGCACGTGTATACAACACACTACTGACAGATATCAAAAACTAAATGACCTTTTATACGTAGGTTTTGGTTGCATTTGAATGCTTTGATATCGGAACGGAGCACTATGTAATTGAACCACGGGTCGAAAACTTCCTGACATAAATGGTGATCGCCGAGCACGTTTGTGACTGCCACAGAGAAGCACTGTGGCTGACGAAAAAAATGTCAGATTTGATAGCACAATGGATGGAACAATTAAACGCATGAAACGGCACGGAACACCGTAATCGACTGAGCGGGGGTGGCGCGTGATGTGAGGGAATTCCTACGCAAGGACGATGGGGTTGGCACTATCACTACAAGACACAATTCACTTTTCGATTTGGAGCAGCGGATCAAAATCCAGAAAACCAAAAATCGACAAAAAGCAGGTGCAAATCTTCTGCACCTATATCAGGGATTGACTAGGAACCGTGGTCAGAGCGAGGGGCGGGGCTATACATTTTCAAATCAAGCTATACAGCAATAATTGATGTAGTGGCATCATTGCTGCTCCGTTGCCATATGAAACGTCTTGTAATTGAATATGTAGCGTACGGTGCCCTTCCTCGTTTATCATTTTGCTAGCGGAGAGTACGGCGTCAATAATAGCATACTCGCTCTAAAAAGCCACTACATCAAACTATCAATGTATTGATGTGTTGTCAAAACTATTGTCTAGACAAGAATACATATCATGGGACTCAAAATTGCTATGCCTCCTGTGTCTTCAACGGCAGTGAAATAGGCAAATCGTACACAATCACACTATATGCACTTCGACATAGGGGTGCTACGTCAATACACATGTCTGTGTTGCAAGAGTAAGTGCTTCAATTTTTTTTCTCGTATTTGATTCAGCACTGGATACACACCAATACCGACTGAGCTGATCTGTACAGTTATATTGTTGGCAAATAGTATTTTACACTTCGATTAAATTCCTAGTTGGAAATGCGAGTTTATATACTCGACACTGTATAGGATAGGAGTAGACTTATAAGCCGCCGTATCGCTGTACGTTCCTCGAAACGGGCTGTGTAGTACCTGGGCACGGGATATAGAATTGTGTATTGCAAGAGGTCAGCTTAGATTCATACCCAGTATCCAGTACATATCCCGTTTCCACAACTTTTGTTTATAGCAGTCATGTCGTAGCCCTAGAAGATAGGGCGTAAGATCTGGTGCTCAGTACCTAACACACACAATGACTATTCTGTCTCGAATCCGCGAGGCTAAAAAATGACCGACATGTGTAGACCAGAGTATTTAGGCAGAGCGACCTCCATGCAAAATCCGATCTCATATGCCCCAGTAGTGCGTTGCACATAATTTAATACCAGACATGATAATCTCTCTTGACTGACTCAGAAATAGGTACTCAGATATTTCGCCCAATGGAAAAGTATCCAAAGCTCCATTTGCAAAATTCGATGCTATGGCGCACTCACCTCTGTTTAGGAGTGGAGTGTTATCTGCAGCATCCAGGTCGTCCGTAGATTGACCGAGACCAAGACCCATAGACTGCAGCAATAGTTGACTACCTGCGCCATCGCGTCCCATCGATCGAATACTACCCACATCACCTGGTAATTACAGCGTAGCGGTTTTAGAATCATTGAAAGATGTAGATATACAGTCAAGAAGCGAATTAGAATTGCCAGCTCTATACGAGAGAGACAACGATATAGCAGCGGTCACAGGCCTAGCGTCACTGCGATCAGCTCACGCTATACATAAGATAATAATTTACCCCGAATTGAAATTAATAATATTATTCCTATACATTATTATGCACATGTAGTGTGTTCATGAGACACTTTTGTATTGACAGGCAATTGCACATTCGAGACGCCCGTGCGACCGACTGCTAGCGATACAAGGTCACAGAACGGTTAATATAGCTAGTTTTTGATAGATACCCAACAAATATCAAGATAGGCACCGAAAACAGAATTGCTATAAAAAAATTTATGTGCGAGCTCGTCGTACTAAATACTTAATGTGCATCTAATACTACCTTCTGCGATGAGGAAGTCTTTGACACTGCGCATGTCTGCAGGGATACCAACTTCACCCTCTTGCTGATCCATGCCCATACGTTTGCCACGGGTTTCCAAGTCCCCTTCACTATGAAGATACTCCTGAATTATAGAGAATACAAAGGGTGTAACGTGTCAAGACTATCTGATTCGACATATGTTGCCTTTTCAGATGGATTCAGCTTCGTCTGTCGGGAATCACATAAACATCCACTGGCTTGTAAAAGGAGATATGGTATGTTGTGAATTTGCGCGCGGTACGAACAAGCACCTTACATGTGCACATGTGAAACGAGTAAGCCTATCTACAAGGGCGACAAAAGTCAACTGATTCAGCTGTAAGTTTCCAGAAGCGAAATTGACGCACTCACTATAGCTACCTCAGTGATAGTATATTTACACCCACAAAACAAACACACATACCATCAAAGAACATGCGTATGCACACTCTTCTCCCTACAAAGTGTGTCACATTATGCCTAAATGCGCCTGAATAGAACAGGACCCGTGATTTTACGCACCTACGTAATAGACCACTCATTTCCACCGTTTCCGTACACGTGAACAACCACTTACCAAGTGCGTGAGATCTTTCCTCGTCACAATACCCAGCAGATTGTTATCTCTGTCGGTCACCGGCAGCTGTCGCAAGCCCATAGTTCTGAATAAATTAAACACACGCGGCAGAGGCGCAATGTGCAACACCGTGTATGGACACGGGTGCATATAAGGGGTCAGATCCATGAACAACTGGCCGTCGTCAATGGGGAGTTCAATCTGGTCCAGTTTTGGATATCTCGGGTAATCGGCGATGAATGTCTGCGAGCAAAGGAGTACATCGAAATGTGAGATGAGGAGCTATTCTAATAAAAGAGACTTATTTAGATATGTAACATGCTGAACTCGAATTTTACTCTGTGTACGGTGTGAGGTAGTACGCCTTGTGGGGTGTCTAATAGCTGTACTCACATGCTCATCATAAATAATAATCAACTTCACATGAAATTCGAACAAGGTAGTGCAAAAGCTACGATAGTATGATGACTTCGCACAGCTAAGCCCACACTCCAACAACAACAACAACAACAACCCCCCTACCAAAACTTAAATAAAACCCGATCTAATGAGGGCACATCAACCATTGCAAACACACCTCGTAGCTTATAATGGGAGCATCAACCGAGCCTTCTCCAACCCCTCCGCCCACGAGTTTTCCGTAGGCTTTGTGCTTGAGCAGCACCACAAGCTGTGAACGCAGGATGATTCCTACCAGCTTATGCTTCACAACACCCTCGTTGTCGATTCTAGGCACCACCACCGGGTAAGCCGCATGCGCGGTGGTCTGTAAATAGATTGGTGAGACGGATGAACGATTGCAGATGAGTGAAGGTACTGCACTATTTGAGTGGCATATATGGTGGGTGGTCAAATGAAGGACAAGCACATTGGACGGATGCGAGCAAGTACGGGTACTCCATCGATAGCAGCATGCGAATTTGTCTGGGAAGCTTTCATATTGAACAAGTACAAACGCGATAGGATACTATAATGTGCGTGGATGTCCGGCAGTATGGTGGACTATACAGATCAGACGAAAGAAGGCTAGTACAGTACTATAATGTTTCATTTGGTAAATTTACCGCGATACGTTCTACATATACAATCTACAATAGAGTCCATCGTACTGTCGTTCCAGCGGTATGTATTTTGTTTATATATACTTGTCGATATAAGTTCTCGCACACAAGTTATATTGCAAGCCCACGCGATACATATGGACAATACAGTGAAATTGAATACGTCATTACATTTTGAAAAATGGTACCGATCACATATATAATGTTGGCTGATTGTAAAACGATTTATATATATACACACACACACACACACACACACACACACACACACACACACAC